CGCCAATCTATTTAGAATTCAAACAAAAAAGAAATATATCATTAAACAAATCAATAACCTACTTTTAAGACCAAGAGTTAAAGGTGTTTCAATAGCTAAAAATAAAATAAAATAATTTTCATTCTAAGAAAATTTTGATATTAATAATAATACTACCAACATCGAATTTTTGATGGTATCATTGTTGCCTTTGATGATGCAGCAGCAGTTGCTGATTGTTGAATTAATTGTCTACGTTTTGATTCATTAACAGTTATACCTGATGTTTGATGATAATGTCCAACACAAAGACTTCTATTAGCAACAAATGTCTGGCATTCTTCTCTACCATCATATTTACATAATTGTCTCCAAACTCGTCCATTAAATCTTTGTCTTTCAATAGAACCATCACATCGAACATGTACACGAATTTGATCTTTATCAGGTAAATCTGACGATTTACTTGCTGTTGTCGTCATATTTTTTTAATTATTAGACTTCTGTTTTTTTAAAATTATTATCTATTACAATAAAAGAATAAAGTTAGAAGTCAAGCAAATAATAGAGCTCATTTTTAACCAAATATATCTTCATTTATATTTTTTTTGTACACAAAAAATATTTCGATATAAAAACGACAAAACAAAATAAATAAGTAAATTTCAATTATAATGGAGTTTCTTCATCTAACGAAAATCGGATGAAACAAAATATATACCTAATGAAAGACATAGATCATAATTATGACGTCGTTCTGATACATATAATTTATCACAGAGAACAACAATTTCAAATTGATCAAGTAAACCTCTTGTGCCACGCATGTTATTATTCGCCCATCACCTATTGTGATTAAATCTTGTAAAAGATCATTTGTCATTTTAATATCTTTATTTTCTGTACATTTAATCATAAAACATATATTTTCAAAAAATGAATGACGTTTATCAATTGAACGTGAACGTTTTGGACCGCCTTGAAAATGACAATCTGTCTCATCACCTTCAATTTCAAATGCACTTTTAACAACAATTCGATCATATTTAATACAATCAATTAACCAACGCTGTGAAACACAAAAACAATGATTAGCTATAGCTTCAATTAATTTTATTGATAATGGTGAACGTAATGTATGTTTATCATCATTTGTTATTAAATGCGTTGCTTGAGTAACACGAGATGAAAATTTTCGTAGAAATTCATCAACTATATCCTAGAATATTTCAATATGATTATATATTGAATATTGTTATCGAATAACTACTAATTGATAACGTTCAAGACATATTACAGAAAAAACAATTGGTTTATTTGCATCTCTCTAAATAATAATAATAAGATAAAATAAAACAAGATTTTATAATATTTTATATGAATATAAAACATACACGAAATCGAATTGGCATTTCATCAGTATCCAAATCAGCTACTGTTATTGCCGATGGTGGATTTGTAGTAGTTNAACTATTCTAGAATTTATTCGTATCACACCTAAAAATTCTTCAATACTTGTTTTTGTATTTAGTCGACAACTAGCACTTTTTGGGACATTTCTCTTGATCCCACACATCTTGAATATGTATTTTTATCTGCACAAAAATCAAAAACTGCACTATTGAGAATATTTACAAATATATTCCAGCCATTCAAATTTTGAGAAAGACTTTGGAATGTTTTAGAACGATTTAACGAGGGAATCTCAAAACATTGACTCACTATATTTTTTTCTTCGAAGAAAAAAATTATTCAAAATGATATTTACATTTTGACACCATTATATTTAAGCATAAATATACGTTTAGAAAATAATGAATGTCTTCGTTGAATAAGACGTGAACGTTGCAGACCACCATGATACATTGTTGAACATGTTAAATCACCACGTATTTCACAATGTGAAGACATTCATCAATCCAACGTATTAATAAAACAGTTAAATGACGTGCTAATGCATGAACAACTTTTGATGATAAAGCACAAACGAATGGAATTGTTGTATTATTGAAATTGATTTTTGAGCAAAAATATAATCGTCAGCATGATTATCAATTGAACTAGCAGATGAACATGCTTGATTAGACTAAATATATAAAAAAAAAAAAGAAAATATACAATTCATATTCTTCATCTATGATCTTACATCGGATGTTGCCGTTGACTCATCTATAGTTGTTGATGTATTAAGTAAAATTGATTGAACAGGTGGTACTAAGATTATTAGAAAAAAAGACAAACAAATTCGATTTTCTTATAACACGAAACATATATCATACTATTTTGAGTTGAATCATATCGACATCGTTTAAAAAGAGCTCATTCATCTGACTTTCGACGTTTATTACTATTATTATATTGACTAGAGTTGTAGAGGATATTTACGACGATTGTTTGTTTACAGATGTTGATGCTAAACTACACGAGAATAATATGATATATATAATTAATTTATTGATTAGTAGAGCAAAGGGATAATGAATACTCATAAGAAGATTTTTCGAACAGATATAAAATGTGCATCCTTTTATTTTAGGATGAAATTCAAAGCAAAAATTAGTGATTGCATTTGAAAGGATATCATATCTATGGTTTTAAGAGAGCAATTGGCGGTGCATAGAATGGTATTATAGATATATAACAGTTTTCGAAAGGATCGTTCCGTATTGTTAAAATATCGTCAAGATATAATCTAGATCTAAGAAAAACGAATCATCTTTAAGCATGAAGAGAACCAATAACTGTATCGAATTCAGTTGAAAAACTAAATTTGCATGATTTTATCTTAAGAACCACAATATCTATATTCTTCAAAGATGATAGCCAATTTATGCACTTAGAGCACATTAAAATTTGAGCCAATGTTGATTTCTTATATACCATTCAATGCGCGCGAAAATGCTTTAATAATATTAATACCACTTACAATTCGGTTGTGCTGTTTTTCGTCGCCAATCTATTTAGAATTCAAACAAAAAAGAAATATATCATTAAACAAATCAATAACCTACTTTTAAGACCAAGAGTTAAAGGTGTTTCAATAGCTAAAAATAAAATAAAATAATTTTCATTCTAAGAAAATTTTGATATTAATAATAATACTACCAACATTGAATTTTTGATGGTATCATTGTTGCCTTTGATGATGCAACAGCAGTTGCTGATTGTTGAATTAATTGTCTACGTTTTGATTCATTAACAGTTATACCTGATGTTTGATGATAATGTCCAATACAAAGACTTCTATAAGCAACAAATGTCTGACATTCTTGTCCACCATCATATTTACATAATTGTCTTCAAACTACTAGTGCATTAAATCTTTGTCTTTCATTCAAACCGTCACGTCGAACATGTGCATGGATTTGATCTTTATCAGGTAAATTTGACGATGTACTTGCTGTTATCGTCATATTTTTTTTTATTATTAGACTTTTTTTTTTAAATTATTATCTATTACAATAAAAGAATAAAGTTACAAGTCAAGCAAATAATAGAGATCATTCTTAACCAAATATATCTTCATTTATATTTTTTTTGTACACAAAAAATATTTTAGATATAAAAACGACAAAACAAAATACATAAGTAAATTTCAATTATAATGAAGTTCTTCATATAACGAAAATCGGATGAAACAAAATGTATACCTAATGAACGACATTGATCATAATTATGACGTCGTTCTGATACATATAATTTATCACAGAGAACAACAATTTCAAATTGATCAAGTAAACCCCTTATATCACCCATGCTATTATTCGTCCATCACCTGTTGTGATTAAATCTTGTAAACGATCATTTGTCATTTTAATTTCATTATTTTCCGTACATTTGATCATAAAACATATATATTCAAAAAGTGACTGACGTTTATCAATTGAACGTGAACGTTTTGGACCACCTTGAGAATGATAATCTGTATCATCACCTTCAATTTCATATGCACTTTCATCAACAATCAATTAACCAACGATACGAAACACAAAAATAATGATTAGCTATAGCTTCAATTAATTTCATTGATAATGGTGAACGTAATGTATGTTTATCATCATTTGTTATTAAATGCATTGTTTGAGTAACACAAGATGAAAATTTTCGTAGAAATTCATCAACTATATCCTAGAATATTTCAATATGATTATATATTGAATGTTGTTATCGAATAACTACTAATTGATAACGTTCAAGACATATTACAGAAAAAACAATTGGTTTATTTGCATCTCTCTAAATAATAATAATAAGATAAAATAAAACAAGATTTTATAATATTTTATATGAATATAAAACATACACGAAATCGAATTGGCATTTCATCAGTATCCAAATCAGCTACTGTTATTGCCGATGGTGGATTTGTAGTAGTTGCAGATAATTCACTAGCTATTGGTTGAATTTCATAGATACTTTCATTGTTAACAGAGTTTTTTGGACTTAAATCATTATTTAATTTATTTGAAGAAAAATTGTCTGTAACATGATGAGTACGTCTTTTGTGTTTCTAAATGATTATAATTTATAAGAAATGAATATTCAATTGCTTATTTTAATTATCGAATATAATTTTTACTTGAAATAACGTCAAAAATAGACATTAATAAGAAGATCATATGGAATCGTGTGTCGAGGTGATTACATATTTTTTTTATGCTGTAAAAGCTATATATAAATGAGATTCTGTTACACAAACTGAAATGTGGCACTATTCAGATAAGAATTTTTCAATGAAGGTTTGTTTGTTCATGTAAATTACTCTTTTTTCTCTATCAGGAAAAAATACCAACATGACATATACGAACCTTAATGTAATCAGCATGAAAGAATTTGTTACATATATCACATTTTATTTTGCTGATTGGCTCAAAATCTTATTTGAATGCTGGTCTCGGACGTAATCGACCTTCTCCAATATCCCATTGATTAACTAAAACTTGCATTGGATCTTGTTCCATTCCATTACCTGTGTCGGAATAAATTGCTATATATAAAAGAAAAAAAAAAGGGAAATTATTATCATTTGAATCATTAATTATTTACTTGATTGATCACTTATTAAAGTATTTGTTTCAATATAAGATTTATTACGCTATATATAGAAAAAAAATTATTAATTTTATTCTTGAATAATTTTACTTCAGATGTATGTTTATTATTCAATGTAATTGCAAAATATCCTTGATGTACTTTTCTCATAA